GAAAAAGAACAAGGCATGGATACAGGCTACGGTGTGAGTGAGCCTTGAGGACACTATGCCAAGTGAGATCCTATAGGGCAGAAGGCCACACTCTGTCTGATCATTACTATACAGTGTCCAGAAACAGGTTGGCAGTTACTCAGAGCGGGGGCAGTAAAGAGTGATTGCTGTTGAATGGGTTGGTTTGTTTATTTGTTTTTTGCGGTTTGGTAAGAATGTTCTAGAATAGATAGTGGCAAGATTATACGGCGTAGCTAAGCATCACTGACTTAGACACCTTACAGTGGTAAGTGTATTAGACAGCACTCTCTAGAGGAACAGCACCAATAGGATGAGTACATTTTAAAAGAGGATATGTTATATTGGCTTGCATGATACAGTCTGGGTAGCTCAACTCTGGCTAGCTCACCCAGAGTGATGGAGAATTCGGCAGCAGCCCAGTCACCGAGGCTGGATGCTGAAGGTCTAGAGGATTCCTGCTGGGATTCTGTCTATGTCGGAAGCCTGACGTAGCTGGTCCTAGTATTGGTAAAGGAATGCTTCAGCGATCAGCAGAAGCCACTGAAGAGTGATGGCAGGCAAAGTTTCCTTCACCCCACCCTTCTATGAGGGTCTTCCCACTTCAAACAATCTGATCAAAGACATCCTTCATGGGAAGGCCCAGAGGGTTGTGTTTCAGTTGATTCCAGACCCAGTCAGGCTGGCAACCAAGATTAGCCATCACAGTAAGTTTTACGAGAATTTTATATCAATTTTTAAGTTGCTAAGAAAAATAACCCTCAAAGATAAAACTGTGCCCCTACCTTTTAGGAATATGGGCATGTCTAAAGTAAAGCCATGTTTTCCTAGCCAGAGGATACCCACTTAGCCTTCTGTTGTCTTCTGGAATCCCCCATGTCCATGATTCCACTCACAGCAGTGTGGACACCTGCATCTTTGGCTGTGGCTCGACTTGTCCTAGACCGAGTGGCTGGCCATCATGTGCGGCTCGGATGATCAGAATCCTACCTGATGAGGTGTAGTGGCCATGTGCCATCCCTCCTTCTACAGTGACCCAGCCTGCTCCAGTGGCATCATCTGGTCCAATGTCCAGTGGCTGCTCACAGCTCTCCTGTATCCCATCCCCGGGGGCCACAGCTGCTGGACAGTATACACTGTTTGCAAAGGCTCTGGAAGTCAGGCCACCTGTGCCGTTAGATCCCCTCCATCTGTGATGTGCCACTTCTGGCACAGGGCTCGTGAGGAGGTGGCTGTGAACCCCACTTTACCTGCACAGGCCCCCATAGCCCAGGGCTCTATCCATACGGCAGATTCCACATCACCTGCATTGCATCGACTCCTCTCTGCCTGCTTTCCATCACTGCTGCTCACTTTTATGTGCACTGGAATCTGATCCCTACTGTCACATTTCAGGTTTAATAAGACACACAGAACTTTATCAAAGCTGCAGTTTACAAAGCCCAAGTTGCAGTTGTCATCTTTTTAGCTGTATTTACCCTGGAAGGTGAAATAGCCACTCTTCTGTATAGGTAGAAGGCTAGGGTCCAGAGAGACCTAGAGAATTCCTGAAAGCCACACACAGAGTGATAGAGCCAAGATTGGACCACAGTTTCTGGGGTAAGTGATGTCCTGGTGGCTCCTTGCCGACCTTCCTGCCTCACCTTTGGCCTATGCTGTTCCCTGAGAGTCCCTCATATTGATGATCTGACATGCTTCATGTCAGGGGCTCCAGGCCACAGCACACAGAAAATACTCTGGGCATTTTCCCAGACCTCTACCTTACTGCCTCAAGCCAGGTCCTTTCACTGAACTGGAGGCCACCGCTACAGCTGGGCTGGCTGGCCAGCCACCTCTCAAGATCTGCCTGTCTCCATCCCCAGAGCTGGGGTTACAGGCACATGCAGCCATGTAGGGTTTTGTTTATGGGTGCTGGGCATTTGAACTCAGGGCCTCACCCTGCAGCATGAGCTCTCCTACCCACTGAGCAATCTTCGCAGCCCCACCCTAGACATTCCTGTGGGAGATGAGGTGGCAACCTCTACTTGGAGACAAGCCATGTGTCTATTCTCCTATCCAGAGGACAAGGGGTGCTCAGTGTCCCTTTAGTGGCACCCACAGGGAGCCCTGGGAACTCACCTCCCACCTCATGCACTGAGTTCACAAAAGCTAACCGTTCCCACAGCCTCAGTATCCCAAAGATCACAGGACAATGCTGCCTGCCATCCTCGCTGCCTGCCCAGGAAACCACCATCAGGCGTTCCCACAGTAACCAGTGTGCTGTCAAGGGAACCTGAGCCCTCAGCACCAGATGCCCACACCTGTCTTCTCGCTGAGTGAACACCAGAGGCTTGAAAAGCAGCCTGCTTCCCTACGTGCCTTGTGCAAGTCTCCGACAACCACTCTGCAAAGTACCAAAGCCTGGCCTCGAGCACCAGGGGTTTGCTGTTGGAAGCCAAAGTCACAACTCTGGACCTCCAGCGAGATCCACGTGAGAAATACTGCACTCCCCAGCCCCAGCCTCTCTCTGCATCCTTCAGCTCCTGTGGCCTCAAGCATCCTTGAGTCATGGCCATAACTTTTATCATCATCATCACCATCATGTGTATGTAAGATGCATATATGGATACATGTGCTGTGATACAGATGTGAAGGTCAGAGAACTGCCTGATGGAGTCTGTCCTCTCTCTCCCTATGTGGGTTCTGAGGCCCAAACTCGGGCCACCAGACATGCACAACAAGCCCTTATTAACCCACCTGCTCCCATGGCTGCATTTCTCCAGGCTCTGCCTTGGTTTCATGAGGCTCCTCCTCCATCACCAGGCTTCCCTCAGCCTCTATGCAAGGGCTCTGGTGGCATGAGGAGACTAGCAAGAGTATCTAGGCCATCTCCCCCACACAAGACCTTCAACCCAGTCATGTTGGCAGCTCCCTTTGGGCCATACAGGATCAAGGGATCGGGGTTCTGTGGGTCTGAGGCCATCTGTCAACCTGCCACATGCCTCTGGTGGCAGATTCCTCAAGGCAATCGCAGAGAGGACAATGACGGTTCATCAACTTTGGGAAGTCCTTGAGCTCAGCTACTGCCATCCAGATGGATGACACTCACTGAGAGAGGGTCACTGACTCCCATGATACCCAGAGACAGACCAGGCCCAGGCCCAGATTTAGGCTCTGGGCATCTAGAGGACAGAATGGCCTGATTTTGCTGGTATTGCATGAACAGCATTAAAACAGGAGAACAGCCCCCACTCTCCAGAGGCAAGCTCCTAAGAAGACAGGGCCACATTCCCTATCCATACTCCAACCAATCCTGGGGTCTCCAGACCTCATCTCCCAGCAGGCCTCACATCTGATCACAGGCCTAGGGACCAGCATGTCAGGCCTACAAAGGCTGGTTTTCCCAAGTATGGTCTCCTGGTAAACATGTAAGGAAGTGCTGGACACTGAGCTAGGCCCCAACGAATCCTGGGGTGAGCCATTCTCTCCCCATCAAGAGAGCCGAGGACCCAGGCCCCTAACTAGAATGGTGGTGACATCCAGCCACCATTTACTTTCATTAGTGACCCCAGCTACTGTCTCCCCACATGGAGCCCACCCATACCTGATTGTGCGCCCAGCCCTCTGCACATGAAGTTATTCAGCAGAAGCCACCATGAGGTTCTGAAGTGCCACCCAAGCCCCTGGCTCCCAGGCCTCAAATTTCTCAGGACAAAGAGGTGGGTCAACCTCCCACAGCACAGACACCACAATAGGCCAGTTGGTGGTCAGATGAAACCTTTCCAAACCGTGATAGGACAGCTCTGCATACCCACTAGGATGGCAATCACCACACAGCTCCTCAGAGGTTAAACAGCACCCACTGCGAGGCATTTGCCCATGAGAAAAGAAAACACCCACCTACAGGACATAGCAATATGATACACAATGTGCCTCCCCGAATGCAATAGCCCCCATAAGAAAGAATAAAGCTCAGATACACACTACAACATGGAGCAGACATCACACTCTGGTCAGATCTGATTGTACCTGTGTCAAGTCCACAGTCAAATCCATATACACAGAAGCCTGGGGGTGGGGGAGGTGAGCGTTCAACGGGGCGGAGCTTTCTTCTGGGAAGCCGCTAGTCATGGCCACATGACAGAACAGAAGGCACCAAACTATGCAGTGAAAATTGTTACAGTGGGAAGTTTGGGTTGTGTGTATTTTACCACAATCAACAAACTAAAATTTTATTTCCAGAAAAGGCAATGGGCAGGTACCAGCCCTGGAGCCACAGTCTAACCCGTGAATGAGAACAAGACCCTGAGCCCCTACCTCCTCTCCACCAGACAGAGGCACTGCCAGCCCCACCCTTCCATATCTACGTTAGAACCTCTGCCACTCCTGAAAAGACCGCCCCAAGCAGGGAGGACCCTCTGGACTGATGAAGCACTGGCAGGTGTTTGGGACACCCACAGGTAGAGAACCTGACTTGAGATGACCCAGAATGCTTCAGGAAAATGAAATATTCAAGATTGTCTCTCATGGCCATGTCCAACCTTTTGACATTGTGACGCAATGCCACTACAAAGAGAACACTTGAAAGCCACACAGTAGGGGCTAGGGAGCTGGCTTAGAAGATAAAGTGCCTGCCGCCCAAGCCTGAGGACCTGAGTTTGAATCCCCAGCACCCACATAGAGCTGTGCACAGCAGCACACATCTGTAACACCAGTGATGGAGGGCAGAGAAAGACAACCTGTACTCCAGGCTTAGCAAGAGGTCCTGTCTCAAAACATACACTGGAAAACAATAGAGGAGAACCCCTAACACCGAACACATGTGCACATACAGATGTGTACCTGTACACACACAAACACATACACACACACACACACACACACACACACACACACACACACCACAGAAAAAATTTAACAATGTTTGGGGCAGGTTCATGGTTTTATCTTGGGCGACATCAGCACCGTCCCTGTGACAGGACAAGCGTCCAGGTTCTACTCACCAGAGGTGTCAGCACGCCCGGTCCCACAGGAAGGCTCCCTGCAGCAGCCACAGCCTGCACTCTGGATGGCCAAGGTGGGGAGAGTGGAGATGCTTCTAGACCTGTGAAGACAGGAGCCAGGGCACTGTCAGGTGGGACTGCAGGGGACGCAGGGTCCAACTTTCTACAGACCTTGGGTTTTCTGAGATTAAAAACCAACAGTTAAATTTTTTCTTTAGATAAGTGGAAACTGAACTGGTTCCCTTCCCCCAATGCAACTGGCCCAGATGCCAGATGCAAAGCAAACAGGATTCTGGGAGGTGGGCCGGGGGTCAGGGTGGTGGACATCTGTGAGTGTCCTGGGTTCTTTCACCTCATCAACCCAGGGAGGCAAGAGGGACTCAAGGTGCCCAGGACTAAGGAAATTAAAGCTGAGGAAGTTAAAAGACTAGCGAGGGCCTAGCCAAGGCTTTATGAACAGTGAGATGTGCTGGGGAGAGGAGACTCCTCAGGGCAGCTGCCGGCAAGCTGTGCAGGAAGCCCCTTGGGATGAAGCTTTCATGGATCCCCAGCCATGCTGGGTGACGGGCTTTCTGGTGACACAGTTGCCTTTAAATGATCCATGCTCCTGCATATATAACTCCCACCCATGGCTCCTGTGAGTAACCTTAGTGCATCATCCTGTAAGTACCCCTCACACATACTCGTCTGTTAGTAAACTCATTCCACTGAGTTAGACTCTGGTGGAATGATTTCTTTGGTCTGTGCTTTGGTCATTGGTGCTCCATCCAGAGTGAACAGATATTGCTCATGTCATCCCAGGAAGAGTCACACAGTCATGACAAACCAGCCAGAAACCCCAGTGGGACAGGAGGAATCCCATAACGAAAGTCCTCTGTCTTCAGTCAAAGGATAGTTTAGCAACTCTGGCCGGACACTCAGAATCAAGGTCCCTACCTGCCCCTGCAGCAAGGCCAAGTGAGAGCTTGAGTTTCTACTCTGTGTGGCTGTACCAGGGCCCCTAACTGCTAAGCAGGGAGGTGGGAAGAGGGACATCACCACTGGCATTAAGGATCCTCTCCTCCCCTCCAGTATTGGCTTGGTCATCTCGGGCAGGGCCTCCAGTCCAGGCTGCTGCAGTACAGCTCTTCCCTGTGCTATGGCCCAGTATCAGAAGACAAGGAGAGGCAGGGCTGCCAGCACTGTCCAGGGACAACAAGGCTACGCCACCAATGACATCAGCAGAAGCCATATGGAGGGCCAGAACTCCTGCACCTTCCAGTAGAGAAGGAAGCTTCTCCAGGTGGGCATCTGTATAGGCCATGGACTCCAGCTCTGCCTGAAGGCAGTGAAGCAGGGCTCATGCCCACCTTCCCTTATGGAGGCAGCATTAAAAAACAAGCCCAGAGTGGTGATGATATCTAAAATCCCATCCCCAGAGAGTTGAAGGCAGGAGGATCAGAAATTCAAGGCCAGCAATAACCATACAGTGTGTTCTAGGTTAGCCTGGGCTACACTGGATCCTGTCTTCAAAGTGAAAAGGAAAGAGGAAGGCAGAAGAGGAAGAGGAGGGAAAGGATAAACCCATGCAGTTCCATATCAAGTTATAGAATTATGAAATGTGTGAAAACTGATGTCAATGGAAAAGTCTAGAAAACAATGCTTTAAATATAAGGCATGGGCCATGAAAAGAAGGGCCGGACTTCTTCTCATCAAGAACCATGGAGTCAGAAGGCAGCACAGGACTTAGTGAATGAAGACAGAGCGGACTGCCGAATGCCCTGTGTGGGGGACAGAACAGAGTACTCACACAGGTCTATCAGCAGCAGATGTGTTGTGTTGTCAAGATGGCCAAAGTGGAGCCAGCAAGATGGCTCGGCCGGGTACAGGCCCGATGACCTGAGTTCATCTCGGGGACCCACCTGCCTTAATCAGCTCTGATTGTCAACTTGACCCAGCCTAGAGTCACCTGAGAAGGGAGTCTCAGCTGAAGGACTGCCCAGCTCAGACTGACCTGTGCACATCTGTGGGAGACTGTCCTGATGGTTAACTGATGTTGTAGGGCCCAGCCCACTAAACATGAGCCTGTGAGTGAGCCAGAAAGGTGTGTTCCTCCGTGGTTTCTGCTTCAAGTTCCTGCCCTGAGCAGCGCCCCCCCCCTCACCTAGGGACTGGGACCTGAAAGTGTTAGCCAAATACACTTTCCTCTCCAAGTTGTTTCTGGTCAAAGTGTTGCATCACAGCAACAGAAAGGAAGCCAGACCACATCAAGCTGCAAGGAGAGAACCAACTCCACAAAGTTGTCCTCTGACCTCCACATGTGCTCTGTGACACACATTAGACACATAGATGCACACGTCTACACTAGTAATAAATGCAATGTTTTTAAAAGGTGGCTAATGTAGCCTCTTCAATCAAAGAAATGATTAAAGAAGAAAGACTGTGAAGCAGGAAGGGAAAATGCACACGATGAGCAAAAATACACAATCTCCCCCTTCTCAAGTTTCCTAAATTACATTAAGAAATTCTGTATGCAGAATACCTGATATGACTCTCAATGCTTGTGGAGGAAATACTTGGCAATTATAAGTGGGGAGGGCAAAGGGCCATAAAAGGACATGAAGTGTATTACTCGAACTTGTCCCGTAGTTAAGTGGTGATAAGCTAGTGTGTATAGTGCCTAGAGCAAACTCTTGGTTATGCAACAGATGCACTCAAAAACACTGAACACAGATAAGCCAAAAGGAGACTCTGTTAAGAGTCACATAACCCACAAAAAGAAAGGAAAAGAAAACAGAAGACCCCAAAGAACTAACAAAAGCCTTTACAGGCAGTAATTCTATTTAAATGTAAACAGTAAAAATTATGCTAATTAAAAGACAGAGCAGTTTGCTAAAAGACATATAATGTCTACAAAAATTCACTTCCAATACAATGCCATAGGCAGGTAGAAAATAGAATGATGGAAGACACATTTTACATAAATCCAAGACAATCAAGATGGCAGTGACAACAGTAGATAGAGCATACTTTATGAAAAAAAACACAGGAAAGAACAGTATATAAATTATTAAAATGGTAATTGACAAAGCAGCAGCAATTCTGATATACACACACAAACAGGACCAGCAGAGACATGAAAAAGCTGACAGGCTAATAGGAGAGGGGCAATTCCACACTTTACCCCACCCAGAACAGCATGACATATTCTTTTTAATTGCTCAATGGGGATCCATTACAAATGCATAGGAATCTCAAATTCTACATTCCTACACCAAGAAACTTGAAAGTAGACAGCAAATCTTACAAACACAAAGGCAACCCTTGCTGGAACTGGAGGCCATCATATGGGGGAAATAAGCCAGGCACAGAAAGACAAATTCCACATAGTCCTATTTATAGAAGTTAAGAAGTTGATTACATAGGACCACAGAGTAGAATGGGGGTCTCACGAGTCAAGGACGTGGAGGGGAAAGAGGGAGTAATGAGAAGATGGATAACAGACATCAGAACACAGCACAGGAGAGAAGCAATCCTAGAGGTATAGCAAAAACTAGAACAATTACATTCTATAGTTAATTATATGGTTCAAAATAACTAGAGAAGGTGTTGAAGGTTCCCAATATGTGGAAACAATAACATGAAAAGGTAGAAGTGTTAACCACCCTGATTTGAGCAGTACACACGGTATACACTCCAGTTCTAATGTTATACCCTATACACAGAAAAATGTTGAGGCATCACCACAGACCACAGACAAACCACCTCAAGGGTGATGCAGGAGGCATTAGCACAGACCACACAGGCAGAGACTATGGCAGAACACTACAATCAACTTCACACCTGTATATTTCATAGAAAGAATAAAATAAACCAATTCATTAAGAAATGAAATTACAACATGCCCAATGTGAATGGGTAATTTCAGTAGTTCCCTATACCTATCAGGAAATTAAATTTCTAGCTTTAACTTCCAGATACATCTGATTTCACTGGGGAATTGCATGAAATATTTAAAGGAGAAATGAAGTGAGAATGTGTAAGGGAGGGTGAATAAGACCAAAATTCATTAAATACATGTGTGAAATGGTAAAAAATGTTTTAAAATATTTGTAAAGGAAGAATTAACAATTTCAATTATACACAATGTCTCCTAGAAAACAGAAGAGGACAAAACACGTCCCAATTCACTGTATGGGGCCCTTCAGTAAGAACACTGGTACCAACAACAGAAAAGTACAATTTTTATGAAAAACCTTGGTTATCAAAACCAGATGCAACAAAAAAACCCAGAAATGAACATGAATTCCCTGATGGGAAATCCTTGAAAATATTCACAAATGGGGCTGGAGCTACAGCTCAGTTGGTAGAGCTCTCACCTGGCACACACAAGCCCCCAGTTCCATTCCCAACAGTGCATGGAAAGAGCATGGTGGGTGGTGTGCACTGTGAGCAAAGCACGTGAGAGGTGGAGGCAGGAGGGTCAGAAGTTCAAAGGGCACCTGGCTACATAATGAGTTCCAAAATCAGCCTGGGATACCTGAGATCGTGTGTGTGTGTGTGTGTGTGTGTGTGTGTGTGTGTGTGTGTGTGTGTGTGTGTGTGTGTGTATACACATACAATAATTATATATAAATATATATTAGCAACTATAATTCAGTCATATACAAAAATAACTATACACTATGACCAAGTAGAATTTAGTCCAGCATGCAAGGCTGGTTCAACATTTTGTTTGTTAAAGTTAATTTTTAAAAGGTGTCATCCTGGAAAAAAAATTCAACAAAATCCAGCATCTATCTGTGGCAAAAACTCTCCTAAAAATAAGATGGGAAATCCCTCAACTTAATAAACACTATCTACCAGGAAACCCATCATCTGCCAGTCATTAAGAAATCAAGGAATTAAGCGCCTTCCTGGAAATGCTTGTACCCTGGGGACAAGGTGAAGGTGACAGCTGTCACTGCTGCTGCTGGGCACAGCACCAGATGCTCCCACGAGTGTAACAAGGTAGAAAAGGTAAAACCAATCTAGAAGCAGACTGTCCCTGGTTCTCAATTATAGAAAACCACAGGGAATCTAGAAAATCAAAAATTCTCCAGAAATTATACATGAGTCATGG